ACAACTGCAATGATTCACTTAACAACTGTAGCAAAAAGCGCATAAAATGGGGCAAAACTCATTTAACCACTGTCTTGCATAGCAAAAGGAAGTTTGGACTCAATAACGGTCATAAATCGAGGACTATCTGTAATGAGAAGCAGGAAAAAGCATGCTTAGGCAATGATGAAGTAAGAGAGGCTGTGGGTGAGAAAAAGTGAGGATGAGACACAGAGTTAAATATGTCTATAGAGAAGACAAAAGTTGCAAAGACTGTGGTGAAAGAGAACATGAGACTGTTAAGATTAAAATTAAAAATACAGATTGTTTTTGATTAAAATAAACTTTTCTTGGAAGGGTTGTATGATCATGGTAAAAGCAAAGACAGTTTGCAAAGATAAAAAGGAATAGAGAGATACAGCAAACGATACAATAAACTAATATTAGATAAAATTCCACTTTCTTTCTTTAATTCACTTCAATTTCTTTCAACTACAATTTAAAATTTTCTGTAGTTCTTTATGCCCTGTAAAGGAAGAGGCCCAAGTACCACATGACAGGGTGAGCTCCTGTTCCTTGCCCCAGCTCCTGCCCACCTAGCAGTTCGAAAACACGAAAATGTGAGTAGATAAATAGGTACCACTTTGGTGGGAAGGTAACAGTGTTCCGTGGCCTTTGGTGAATAGTCACACTGGCTACATAACCACAGAAATGTGTTTGGACAACACTGGTTCTCTCAGCTAAGAAATGGAGATGAACCCCATTCCCTAAAGTCGGACATAACTGGAAATTTATACCTTTTTCTTTACTGTGGATCTGACTTCGAATATGGGTGAAAGAGTCCTCCTAGAGAGGAAAAGGGATTAGAAATTATAGCAAGGAAATTATTGGGGATGAAATTGAAAGAAGGAAATACTGGAACAATTATGTCGAAGAACTGTATGTGAGTAATATGAAAGTATTGAGTGCAACTTTAATGAAAGCTATAAATAGTTTTGTCCAAAAAGTATACTGATTTTAACTTTTTCAGTCTTATAACTTGCAGTATACAAAGGAGTAAACATACAGAATAAAAACAAAAGGATCTACAAGTAATAAAAATCTCCTAGATGGTGACCAGAAACATTTTAATCTTCACTATAAGCACAGTGGAATGGTGTTGTTTTAACAGCTTTATAAAATGCCAAGAAAGGGGAGGCTGCTCCAAATTTCCAGAGGCAAGGATTATTTTAATTTTTCATAACTGATGGGAAAAAAAAGTCCTAAATGCTGTGAAAATAGTGAAAAACGGTAAGACTGCAGGCATAGACAGTGTTAAATTGAGTAATGTTAAAATATGGATGCGGTTTATTTGAGTGGCTGTGGGAAATGTTTAATGTATGTGTAAAGTGCGTGAAAGAAAACGTATTAATAAAGTGAAATTATAGAAGTTTTGCACAAATGCAGAGTTGAAGATTTGTTGCTGAATGCAGTAAGTATTATGGGATGGAAGTAAAAAAAAAAGCATGAGACTAAATGGAGTCCTTAGTGCATGGTTCAACCCTAAGATAGGTACAGTAGATAGATAGATAGATAGATAGATAGATAGATAGATAGATAGATGGATGGATGGATGGATGGATGGATGGATGGATGGATGGATGGATGGATGGATGGATGGATGGATGGATAGACAGACGGACAGACAGATGAGAGAGAGAGAAGTGATAGATAGATAGATAGATGATAGATAGATAGATAGATAGATGATAGATAGATAGATAGATAGATATTTTTAATGTATCTATGGATAAATGTTTTAGAAAAGCTTATGGTGACATTAGACTTAGAATAACTTTATTGTCACTTTAAATGTACACTAATTGGCATACATTAAAATGGAAATTTCGTTGCATACAGCTCTCAAAGGATCACCACCTCCAATATACACTGAGAGGGACTCCTTAGGGTGCCGTCAGCCAGGCAATGTCGGCGACCCCCAGGGGGAGAGCCTTCTCTGTGGCAGCACCTGCCCTCTGGAACGATTTGCCCCCGGAGATACGAAGGATACCAGATCTCCGGGCCTTTCGCTGTGCCCTAAAAACTTTTCTTTTCCATCAAGCAGGGCTGGCGTGAAACCCCCCCCCTTTTTTTAGCTCTTTTAGCTTTTTAGCTTTTAAAGTGTAAATTGGGTTTTAATTGGATTGTTTTAAATTGTGGGCCAAAGTTGTATAATTCTTTTAATTGATTTTAAATTTTGTATTGGTATGTTTTTTATCCTTGGCTGTGCACTGCCGTGAGTCCAATAGGAGAAGGGCGGTATATAAATTGAATAAATAAATAAAATAAATAAAATGAATAAAACATGACAAAATAAATAAATAAAATTATGCATATACCACATGTATTATATGACACAGAGAAACAACACAGTCTAGTTCAGATGTTTACATGAAATACATGTATATATTATAGATAGGGCTTCTTAAAAGTTTGTTCATCTTTTTGAACTTTTTAAATATTTCTGCATACATACGATAAGAAGAACCCAATTAAACAAATGACTAAAAAAAAAAATATTACAGGTAGTCCTCGACTTACAGCCATTAGTTTAGTGACTTTTTGAAATTGTGTTGGAACATCCACAACTTCTGGAGGCAAGATTAATTGTTCTAATTGTCAGGAAATTTCTCCTTATTTCTAGGTTGCTTCTGTCCTTGATTAGTTTCCATCCATTGCTTCTTGTCCTGCCTTCAGGTGTTTTGGAGACTTGATGGACTCCCTCTCTTTTGTGGCAGCCCATTAGATATTGGAACACTGCTATCGTGTCACCCCTAGTCCTTCTTTTCATTAAAGTTCTTTGAGACCTCCCTGAGTATTTACATGCTTTGTTCTTGCGATCTTTATTAGCTGACCACTCCTGGAGAAGGCAAAAATGGTGCTGAATTGCTACTATTTGTACATAATCTCCCTGACAGCGTGGACTGGTGGAATACAAACACCTTGAAAATTGTTCTGTAAATTTTTGCAGCCTGGGGAGCATCTGCAACTGTTTTTGCAGATCCTTTGCATGAGCCAAGATACTCTTCCTGTGTTGTAGAGATAAGACTTTGATTATTTATTGTATGGTACATTCACATCACGTTTCAGTAAAAACACATGAGGTAAAAATACAAAATATGAAATATAAAATATTATAAATGCATGCCTAGATTACAGATAGGATTTTTTTTGCTTCATTTGTCACAGCGAGGAAATCAGCAAAATGTCCATTACAGGCTCTATTTTGGCACTGACACTATAGGTCTTTTAGCCCCACAGTCACAGATTGGTGATGGTATTTTGCTCGGCTTACAGAGGATGTCTGCCCATCTACATGGCCACTGCAAATCTGGTTCAGTGTTGTCCATATTGCATGGAGCTGGTGAGATTTTGATAGTGAATATGCAGAAAAAGTTGTTTAAGTAAGGTAGGACCAGAGGTGATATTCAGTAGATTCTGACCAGTTCTGGAGAACCGGGAGCAGAAATTTTGAGTAATTCGGAGAACCGGTAAATGCCACCTCTGACTGGCCCCGCCCAGGGGTGGGTTCCACTTATCATTACTACCAATTCGCAATGGGAGCGCGTGCATACGCTCGCTTCTGCGCATGCGCAGATCATCAGTGATAATGTCGGGGGGGCAGAGCCTCCTGCCACCATTACTACCAGGTTCGCAAGAACCGGACCGAACCGGTAGCAACCCACCATTGGCCCCGCCCCCATCTATTCTCTGTCTCCCGAGTCCCAGCTGATCAGGAGGAAATGGCAATTTTGCAATAACCTTTCCCTGGAGTGGGGTGGGAATGGAGATTTTACAGTATCCTTCCCCTGCCATGCCCACCAAGCCATGCCCACCAAGCCATGCCACGCCCACCAAGCCATGCCCACAGAACCGGTAGTAAAAAATTTTGACTCCCACCACTGGGTAGGACCTTATCATCCTATAGATTGAAACACCTGACTTTAACCCAAAGATGCTTTTCAAGAGGCAACTGGGCTTTCTTTCTTTCTTTCTTTCTTTCTTTCTTTTTTTTTAATTTGATTTATATGCCGCCCTTCTCCGGAGACTCAGGGCGGCTTACAATGTGTTAAGCAATAGCCTTCATACTTTTGTATATTTATACAAAGTCAGCTTATTGCCCCCACAAACTGGGTCCTCAATTTACCTACCTTAGAAAGGATGGAAGGCTGAGTCAACCTTGAGCCTTGGAGAGATTTGAACCTGCAGTAATTGCAGGCAGCTGTGTTAATAACAGGGTGCTTAGACCACTGTGCTATCAAGGCTCAAAAACATTTTCTTGAAAATGTTTTGTTTCTCATCCAAGATAATTCTTCAGTTCTGCAGAAGTTTCTTAGATGAGAAGTGAAACGTTTTAAGAAAAAAAAACCCAAGAAAGTCCAGTTGCCCTTTGAAAAGCACCTTTGGGGCAGCCAGGACTTCAATGAGTGAGAATCTATTACATAGACACCAGGGATGAAATGCTCCCGGTTCAGACCAGATCGCCCGATCTGATAGCGATGGAGACGGGTGGTTCGGAGAACCGGTAGCAAAAATCCCTGCCCCCCCCCTTGCCCAGCTGAGCCGCACAATCATCAGAGGCTTTTTTTTATTATTTTTAAAAGCATTTTTTCTACAACCTCTTTGGCCGAAAAAATGCTTTTAAAAGTAAAAAAAAAAACCTCTGATGATCGCGTGGCTCAGCTGGGATCATCAGAGGCTTTTAAAAACATTTTTTTTACAACCTCTTCAGCCGAAGAGGTTGTAGAAAAAATGCTTTTAAAAATAATAATAATAAAAAAAAGTTGGTCACGCCCACTCAGTCATATTACCCCACCACCAGCCACGCCCACAGAACCGGTTTGTAACAATTTTTACATTTCACCACTGATAGACACCCAACTTTAATTTCGTTTTTTAATTTTTTAATTTAAAATTAACACAATATTGAATTCATATTGTCTTTTGTTTAGTTGGGTACAGTATATCTTTCTTATACCTAGATAATGGACAATTGGAAAGGAGGACAAAGAGGAGAGAAAAGAAAGGGACATTTTAATTTCTTGGCATTTACAACAAAAATACAGTGAAAAGCTGCAAAAAATATACTCAGCCGTACATGTATATGAAATTACTTTTTCCAGCATCAGAAAGATTGGATTTTTCAATTGCGACATTTTCCCAACAAATCTTCATTTTCAAGAACGTATGCTGGTGATAATGTAGAATAAACAACCGCACGCTTTTCAAATTTCACTACAGACATGTATAACGATTGAAGCCGATTGCTAGAATCAGGAAATAAATTAAGTAACATAAATCTAGGTTGCTGCTGGGTCTGTTGACAGATGATGGTGGGGGGGGGAAGCAGATAATTTACAAGATCATGATACACAAAACAGTTCAATTTAAAAACAACAACAACAAAAAGCTAGACAGTATTTGATTTTAAGTTTACTCTTGTTGAACTGAGGACCTGAAAACAAAAAGGGCATTTCCTTTGGCCAGATTTCTGATACCCACAAGAAAATGACACTTTATTATAATAATTTTATTTCCTACCATATAACTCTGCCTAACTAATGGCATATTCTGCTTAACTTTAGCTTAGCTTTCTCTTTTCAACCACTTCCTATATACCTGTGCTGGTGAACTTATGGCACGTGTGCCAGAGGTGGCACGCAGCACCCTCTCTGTGGGCACATAATCCATCACTCAAGTTCAGCTCTGCTGCACATGCGCGCATGCCTCACGCCAGCCAGCTGGTCTTCGGCTCTCTGCTGTGCATGCGCAGGGGCGGGGGACTGGCGGGGGCGCATGCACATGCGCATGAGTGGGGTAGCCGGGGCCCGTGTGTGAGGGCCCATGCATGCATGCAGGGATGGGGCGCATGTGGGGGACATGCACGAATGCAAAGGGGCCGGGGCACATGCAGGGGCCATGCGCAGATGCGTGGGGGTGGGGTGCATGCACATTTTGGGGGTTTGGGTGCACACGCTTTGGACATTCGGTCCGGAAAAGGTTAGCCATCACTGCTGTATACCATATGTGTTTCATCTCTATCCATCCCAATCAGCTCTGGCCCAAACTCACTTCTCATTTGCACATTTCAGAGAATGCGGGGCATTGTAGGTCTTAGATCTTGAACTGGGGTTTGGCCTTGTTGATTGCTGGAGATGTTTATGTTCTGCCTGTTTTAAACTCCTGGCCTGCTGCTTCTGGGTCTGGCTGTGTTTCTCCACTTCCTCAAAATATTTGGTAGCCTTTGGATCTCCTTCCAAGAGCCTTAAGCCTCAGAGTAAACCTCTTCCAAGAGCACTCAAGGCTTCTCTCTCAGCTGGAGTTTGCTCAGTCTCTTATAAAATTTTCTGCTGCCACCAACAAAGTACAAGTAGTCTATTTTTCACACTTAACGACCTTTGCAACATCCCAGTGATCACCTGATCAAAATCTGGACACTTGGCAACAGGTTCACATTTATGACAGTTGCAGGGGTCATGTGATCACCTTCTGCCATCTTCTGACACACAAAGTCAATGGGGAATCCAGATTCATTTAACAACCATTGTCAGATGTAAATGCCTTATTCTCCAATGTGTAAATAATGTATATTGGAACATCAGAGGTTAACTTATTCTTTGGACTTTAATGTATTCATAACTTACCACTCCCATTCCTAGCTCCACCCCTTGTATATATAAGGAGCCACCCTCACCATTCTCGTCGCTTCTACCTTGAATATTCAGTGAATATAGAATGCCTATCATAATTAAAAAGAAATATATTTAAAGCTCTAACTCCTATTATCTTTATTGAGTCTGATCCTGAAAATATTGCAACAAGCTGGTAGCAGAGGATGGTTAATTGACTCAATAAGTAATTAAAAATGTCCAAGAAAGATAGGCCCAACACCAGGGCCTACAGCAAAGAAATAGAAACTGATCAAGAGATGATCAACGAATCCACCAATGCGATTTCGAGAGAATCCGAAGAATACACCACTGAAGAAGAAGAACTAATGAGTGAAAATAATGACCAGAAAGAAATCGAAATAGAAAATAACGAACTCAGGTCAGAGATATTAAAGATACTAAAAAGCCAAAAGAATGATGAAAGTCTCATCGCGGACCTCCAGGAGATGCTGAAGAACAGCGGAGCAGCGAGAGAGAAAAACGTCATTAAAGAAAAACCCAAAGATCAAAAAACCGTAAGTGAGATGACTACTGAGAAAATAGTTGTTAAAAAGAAAAGATGTGATCCCGCGCGAAATTTTGAATGGCAGCCATCTTGGTTTCAACGAACTTCAAAAGAGAATGGAGCAGAGCCAATCAAAACGCTCAGTTCAAAATTTCTGGCGCGAAAAACACTATCAGACGAAGAAAGTGAGAAAGAAGTCTCAAACTCTTCAGATGATCCAAAATCAGAAAGTGAAGACGATTTAAACAAAATCTCAAGTAAAATCAGCAATGAAAACGCTTTTTGCTGCTTTTGGGCCAAGACTGAAAATTACCAAGACATCTACGAAGAAGCAAGAAATCAAACCGGCGACTCAAGACCTGCACGCTCCCATCCTGACTTCGAAAGCGACGACGCCCGAGCCCAGAGAGCCATGCCGATTTCGCCCTACACCACAGACAAGATCGAATACCAACGCACACAAAAAGAAGAAAAGAACCGTCGCCACCACCAGAACCCCAAAAACCGAGCCAGAGACCGACTCATCTGAGGAGGAGCGGATCGAGAGAGCTGAAAGGGAGAGAACCTTCCACGACGCCACCAAAGAAGAAATGAGCAACGCGCATGTGCGAAACTACGTAGACGACCCAGAAGGACTTGAACTGGCCAGAGAACCGCGCAGACTCATTGCAAGCATCCCAATGCCGTTCTGTAATTTCCTGCACTTGAGAGATCACGGACTGCCCCAGGTTGTAAGTAATGGACAGAATAATGTAGGTAACTTACCCAGTGACTTCCCAAAACTTAGAATTGATGGCATTAATTTACAAGAGTGGTATCAACAGCTTCAGGTTATTTTCATGAAAGAGAATTTACTATTCTTTATAACTAGCCCTCCAAGAAGACCTTGGACTTTAAAAATAGATTGTTTACATCATAGAGCATTTTTCATAATAATATCTAGCGTGTCTCCTGCAATGTATCATAGCATCAAACCAAACCTAACTGTATCAGAAATAATTCAATGCATGTTTAATCTATTTCACAGCGATAGCGTAGCTACAACCACAAGAATGTCTAAGGATTTCTTTTCCTCTAGAGTAAAACCAGGGGTTTCTATAAGTGAGCATTTGATAAATCTAAACAAAATAAGAGCTGAGCTACAATTGAGGGGGGAAGTGATTTCAGATCAAACAATGAAAAGTGTTATTATCAATTCACTTGATCCATCATGGGATAGCTTTATGTCACACTTAGATACCATTAATTTGGGATATTTATCCATAGAAAGTCTATCTAACAAATTGATAGCAGAAGACAATTCAAGAAAAAATCGATCTAGTAACCAAACAGACCACAAACCTTTTAGGAAAGTAGTCTTTCAAGATAAACATAATGAGGCCTTTAGATGCTACAATTGTGGATCCAGAGAACATAGTAGAAGAGACTGCCCCAAAGTCTCAAGAGAGAGACATAGACCAGAATATAGGAGCGAATATAATTACAGACAATCTTCCACAGATAGACACAAATATAGAAGTCCACCAAATTACAAAGAAGGTAGAGGGGGTAGAGAAAATTCAAAAGAGAGGAAATCTGGGTCACTGAATGGGCTAAATAAACAAGACAGCACCAGAACACAGCAGGATGAGAATAACAATTGGCTTATTGATTCTGGTGCAACAAATCACACCACCAACAACAAAAGTATATTATCTTCATTTATAGAAGATAAGTTTGTGATAAAGGTAGCTAATCAAGAAAAGGTTCAAGTACTAGGCAAAGGAAATGTGACCTTGCCTGGTCTAGGGAAAATAGAGGGGATATTATTAATCCCAGAAATACCTCACAACATACTAAGTGCCATAAAATTAAGCAGAGAATCTGATATCAATATAGTTTTCTCAAAGGGGAAAGCAACTATAGAAAAGAACAAAACAAATGTAGGTACTGTAATGATAAAAGGAGGTCTACCCTATCTGATAACTAAAGAAAGATGTTTACATAACATTGATTCAAATATGGAAGATTGTATTGAAGCAGATGATGAAAATGTCAGTAACAGTGACAATGATGAGTGTAGAATAACTCATGATCACAAAAATACATACAAGGAAAAGAAACCAAAAATAGGTAAACCAATTCATGATGAGTGTGCTCACATCTTACACAGGAAGTTAGGACATGCAAGCTTTCCTGTAGTACAAAAAATGACTGAACACGCAGAAGGTGTCAAAATAAAAAATTGTGAAAATTATTTGGAATGCTCAGTATGTAAATCCACCAAACTAAAAACCAGTCCCAGACCAAAAAAAATCTAACAGATCAACTAACAATATTTTTGATTTGGTACATATGGACTTAGTTGGTCCATTAAGTCCCTCAATTACCTATAGAAAACGTTACTTCCTAACAATAGTGGATGACTACAGCCGATATGGTTTTGTTTACACATTAAAGCACAAGGATGAAACATTTCAGAAATTTAAGGAATTCTACAAACGTATAGAAACACAACATAATATCAGAATAAAGCAAATTATGACAGATAGGGGATGTGAATTCATGTCTAAAGAATTCTCCCAATGGTTAAAGGATAGAGGAATGTTACATTTCACGTCCAATCCTTTTTCTGCATTTCAAAATGGAGTTGCAGAGAGGAAAAATTCCACACTACAAACCATGATTAGGTGCACATTAGAGGATGCTGGTTTAGGCAAACAATTTTGGTCAGAGGCATTACATTATTCGAATTACACTCAAAATAGAACCTGGTCCAGTATTGTGAATAAGACACCATATGAGGTGATGTACAATAGAAAACCCAAATTATCACACATGCACATATTTGGAGTCACTGCAGACGTACACATACCTAAACAATTGAGGAGAAAGGGAGAAAACGTATCCAGGAGATTAAGATTCATGGGATACGAAACTGGAACCAAAGGGTACAGATTTATTGATAGTAATAACAAATTTATAGTATCCAGAACAGCTGTGTTCCATGAACAGGCCAATTGGTCAAAATTGCACCTTAATGAAATATTTCCTAATAAATGTAAAGATCGATACGATATCTTGCGAGGAAGGAACAACAGAAAATCAAAATATTAACAAAAGTAAGAACAAAACCAAAACTTG